TCAAAAGATGCATTTGACCCAACGCTACTGCTCTGTCAAGGCCCGTCTCGTAGTAAGAGATGATGAGGTTCAAAAGCGGGGTGCCCTTCGGCCCCTCAGCCCTCGCAGCGCAGCCTTCCACCCAACTGGTGATCTCGTGCGCTAACTCCACATTCGTGGACAACACCTCAGGTTTGATCAGCTCTGCTGCAATGTGTTTGTTGAGCATGATAAAGTCCTCTGACGATTGCAGTGAGTTCCTAAAAGCTTTTCCCCTGCCCTCCATTGCATTCGTGGCCCATTTGACAAGAACATCCATCTTTGAAAGGTCAATCCTAGAAATCGATGCCAGGAATGCCGCACGCCACTCTCTGCATGAGGTTGCATCATTGGGCAATCTTGTGACCACCACTGGCTTCAAATGCTTCAACCTGTACACATCCTCTTCAAATTTCCCTTCTGCATTTGGTTAATGGCATGCCAATTCTGTTGGTTGTAGTGGTGGACCAGGCTGTATGCATTGCCTTGCCAGCTTCTGGTTGGATTCATGGCTTCGGTTGAGATCCCCTCCAATTGGTCTTGGGTCCTTTCTAGATCAATGGTGAATTGGACAATGGCATTGGTGGTCACGTAGTTTCCTGCTGCCCAATACTGGGTGAAGAATGCCAATCTGTTCTTCCATCCAGTGGCTCTGGGTATGTAACCAACCATCTTTTGGAGGTTGAAAACCGTTGTCGTCAAATTAGTCCCTGCGAAGATGAAGAACCATTTCTTGGTGTATGTATTGCAAACTCAGCAACACCAGGATTTGAAGGTACGTGTCCTCCAATGGCAGACTTCACATCGCTCTGACCTGTGCCTTTGGCAGTAGGTACAATGTATCCACCTTGAATCCGTGGCCCACCTTGTACAAAATTGCATTGACCCATATTGACCCTCAACAGGAATAACACTCGGAGCTCCACCATTACCAACTCCAGCTCCTCCCAAAAGCCCCCCTGATGCCAAGATCCCGGTTGGCGCAGCGATAGACGCGCTTCCAACCATGGGATATGCATGAGCAATGCCAGCAGCCGCATGCGCGATAGACGCGCTCGCAGTTCCAGCCTCTCGGAACCTGATGGACTCTGATGGGGATAAACTTGGAGGCGGACATGAAGTAGCACCAATGCGATCTCCCTGCAAAAGATTCTGGTCCGAGCCATAGTTGGCAACTACTGCATTGAACAATGTTGAACATCTCCAACATGATGGTCTTCCAACCACATTTTGTGAACCGCAACATGAACAAAACATCACCTCTAAGGGGTTGATGCTGGCAACGCTAGCTCCAGGTCCAACTGACATGATCTCGGTATGTTGTGAAGACTGTGTATGTGGAAGTGGATGATCAAAAGGGTTTCCAACCAAAGGTGAAATTAGTGAACCAGCCATGGATGCCACCCTCTCAGAATTCCTCAACTGCTGATGCGCGGCTTCCAACTTCGCTCCAAGCATCTGAAGCTCCTTCACAGCCCTATCCCGATCCAATTCAGCTTGTCGGGCGACATAGGCCACCTGGCCTTCTGCAGCCTTCTGAACCTCATGAAGTTCTAGTCTCAATTGCCTATTGTTCTCTGCCATCTGTGCAACGCGGATATCGTTGAATCTGCTCACACAATTGTTTGCCTTGTTCAGTGTTTTGTTGTTCTCTTATCTCAACTGTTTGCTTTTCTTGCTGAAGTTGTTGCAATCTTTCTAGAATGTGGTCTTGCAATGCCTTTTGGTTGTTTCCGGCTTGTTGTCTGATGTGCTCGATCTCTTGTTGTGCGGCCTCCCTCATCTGATGATAACTGTTTTCCACTCTTGCCCTCACCAGCGAATCCAACAACTGCTCCAACTGTTCTGGGTCTACTTGATTGACCTGCTGCTGAAACAAATTTTGTTGAACATTTTGGGTATTGTACTGATGCAAACTTGGTAGAATCTGTTGTCCCGTAGATGCACTCCCACCCTGCTGAGCTGCTCCACCTGCAGTGGACGAAGATGACCTCTGCCCTCGCTTTGCTAAGGTCGTCATATTGGCCATCTCCTGCGAGCTAGCTTGGATAGTGGTTTTCAGGTGATTCAGATGATGAGGTCCAAGTTGAGTTCGGCCCATCAACCTTGAATGGAGTGGCTGGCACGTCGCACTTCATCTTTTACACCACGAAGAACTTATAGTGCAAGAATTCCTTCGCTTCAAATGCAGGAACACAGTGGCACGCGATGCACGCGACAGTCCACCTAAAGCCACAATTAGCAATCCAAATAGGCTGTAACAAGATCACAAACTCGCTTCTGCTGTGCTGAACGCGCTATGCGCGAATCTACAACTCATGCAAAACTCCTGGAGGTGAAATTCAATGGCAAAATGCCTGAACTGCCGGTGGTGACAGCTAATGGCAAAGTGCCAAAAAGATTCAGTGAAATCGATAGCAAAATGCCGGAACTGCTAGGTGAAATCCTTTGGCAAAACGCCAATCGACCAGTGAAAGCACGGCAAAGTGCCGGGAAAGCCAGGTAAAAGCTCCGTGACAAAAATGTCAGACCTGTTGTGGTTGAATTCAATGGCAAACGCTGGAACTGCTGAAGATATAGCCCCTTGCAACACTCTACCCCAGGTTTGGTAGTGTTGATGGCAGTGGGAAATCCTCCAAGCTGCGATCGGCCAAATATCGGACCAAGGCGTCAAGGGATTGGTGCGCACCGTAACGCGCTTTGATACACTTCACCCTATTACCCTTAGCCCGACCTTGTTGCACCGAAAGACACTCGTCTAGTAGCTCCTGCTGGTCGTCAGTGAATACACAGGCGCCTGTCTTCTTTACAACAATTGCCTTTGGGCCCGCGTCCCCTGTTATAGAGGGACCTGCTTCACGATCTGACAGTAATTTCGTACGCGTGATATGCATGCCAGCGAATGGCCTGAGAAGCTTCTTCTCAATTTCCTTGCAAGTCTTGAGGGTATTCTCCTGGGTTGTGGTATTCGAAGAGAAACTGCAAATGCAGATGTCAAATCCCCAGCGCTGTATGTTCTGCAAGTGCAGCACAGTCACTTCGCTGACAATCTGATTAAATTCAATGGTATGGTGGTAATCTAACGCCACCAGTGGGCGTTCCGGCGATTCAGACCGGGGGGCTGTCGCCTTTGGCGCCCCCGACGCCGAGGCCAATGCAACACGAGCTCGGCACTCTGCCAACTTCTTCTCGTAATATGGCCTATGAATGTCACCAGGCTTCAGGAAATAGAATCTGCTATAGTCCTGCTCTCGCAAAATGCGACCTTCGTACTGCTCTCACTCATGATCCTCCGGCCGTCTGGCCAGCCCAGCGGATCAGCGGATCAGCGGACCATGCGGACCAGCGGATCAGCGGATCAGCGGACCAGCGGACCAGCGGATCAGCGGATCAGCGGACCAGCGGACCAGCGGACCAGCGGATCAGCGGACCAGCGGATCAGCGGATCAGCGGATCAGCGGATCAGCGGGCCAGCGGACCAGCGGATCAGCGGATCACCGGATCAGCGGATCAGCCGATCAGCGGCCAGCGGACCAGCGGATCAGCGGATCAGCGGATCAGCGGACCAGCGGACCAGCGGACCAGCGGACCAGCGGATCAGCGGACCAGCGGATCAGCGGATCAGCGGATCAGCGGATCAGCGGACCAGCGGACCAGCGGATCAGCGGACCCAGCGGATCAGCGGACCAGCGGACCAGCGGACCAGCGGATCAGCGGACCAGCGGACCAGCGGATCAGCGGATCAGCAGACCAGCGGACCAGTGGACCAGCGGATCAGCGGTTCAGCGGAGTAGCAAATCAGTGGATCCGTGGATCAGCGGCTCGGCGGACCGAACCAAGAGATCCACGGATCAGCTCGTCCACGGATTCTGCAAAGTGCTATCTTTTTGTACTTGTCAACTACTTTCCACACACGCGCCTTTCTTCCGCTCATTGCAGGCTCATTCTCCAAGAAATTGTACCTTTGACAAGTTAGTGCATGTCATCAGCAACATCATGATTTACGTCATGTATGTCCTTCTGGCAGCCATCATCCACACTGTCTGACGTTTGGGATCTGTTGTTTGAGGAACCTTATCCTACTCTGAGCGTTGTCATTCAGAGTTGGATGTGCGGCCTGAGGTCATCATCCCTTCTTCTTCGCTGTCCGGTTTGGCAATTTCACCAAGGCGGGCAACCCTCGAGGAGGGCTACAATTCTCACCGCAACACAAATACATGTGCATGCATGCCATCAGCAACATCATGATTATATCATGTATGTCCTTCTGACAGCAATCCTCCACATTGTCTGACGTTTGGGATTTGAGGAACCTTATCCTACTCTGAGCGTTGTCATTCAATGTTGTTTGTGCGGCCTGAGGTCATCCCTTCCTCGTCGATGTCTGGTTTGGTAATTTCACCAAGGCGGGCAATCTTCCAGTGGTGCGGAGGAGGCTACAAGTCTCACCGCAATACAATGACATGCGCAAGCACGCGCAGCACTTTTGGTGCAACCATTGCAGGCTTACTTGTCAAGGGATTGTATTGGCTTCACACGGCAATGAAATGTGCTTCTAGCAGCCAGATTGTCCAAAGTTGTGAGAAAGATTTGGTGTTATACCCTACTCTGAACATTGTCATTCCCCAAGCCTGTGCGGCCTGAGGTCATCACATCCTCGTTCCCCTTTGGTCCCTTTAATTGTTCTTTGGAAATTTCACGAAGGCGGGCAATTCTGCTGCTGCTGCGCAGGGTTGCAATTTTCAGAGCAACAAGCATGTGCAGCATTTTTGATGCAATCGCTGCAGGCTTACTTTTCAAGGGACTGCGACTTCATATGGCAATGACGAATCGCGAATTCTTTTGCAAATAATATCTCATGAGTCACGAGTGTGCTTCTGCCAGCCATCTTGGACATGACCCACTCAAAACTTGTTAAGACAGTCAATCGCAAGACGCATCCTCAAAATTGTCCGTACCAATCATGGCGGCTGGGTCGACTCATGCTGCGCTGCGGCGATCATTCGAGAAGCCGACCGGTAGATTGCCTGGCGGCGGAATTATCTCCGCTGATTGAAAATCTCGCAGCCGTGTACGGAAGAGAAACTGACCTCAAGGAGTTGCTACCTTTCCCTATACATTGCCCGGCTTGTCAGAATCCGCTTGCTGAATGCAGAAGCTCGGCAGCTGCTGCAATCATAGTCGACCTGGCTGGCATTGTGGAAAAGCAGCATGTCCCATTACGCTGCAGGCGTCCATCCTGCCCTGGCTTTGGGGTGCTGTATTGGCACAACTACAGGGTGCGTGAAGGGCGGCATGTTTTTCATGGAAAGCTACCAGGCTTCCGTTGCTTCATGCTATCTTCTGTTTTTGGCTTTAGTGTGCCGTGGCTTCAGCAGTTCCATGCTGGCCTGGTCAGGCAGCACGCGTCATTCACTAGTGAAGCGGATGTGCTCACTGCGCGGGCTGCCCGCCTACGTCTGCTCATCAGCCAAGGTTGGTTTACATGGCGCCTTCTCACAAGGGCACTGGGGGCAGATCTGAACCTGTCTGAGATGGACTTTTTGAAGCCTTTGGAAGACATGGTGGCCCTTTTCTTGCCGCAGTTGCAACACACATTTGGACAGAATATGTTGCAGGCAGCACAAGAAGCAGGCATGCGCTGCGATGTGGTGGTCCTCGATGGCAACGCCAAGAATCGGAGGGCTGTGTGTGCAGCAGCTTTGGCCGGCTCCTCTCATTCTGAGCATCTCCCGCGCACCTTGCGCCACACCTGCACCAGGACGTCGGCCTTCCGCCATGCTTTTTGCCGTTGGCATTGCGAAGGACCTATGGACGGAGAAGATCACCTTCAGGTGCAAGGGCTGGGTCATTGTCATTTGTGTTGCTTTCTTCTGGCTGAAAAAATGTGCCCTTGTCTTAGACCCCAACTTCAGGATGTGGAGATTGTGCACCACAAGGTGGTCAATGATGGGCAGCAGCTTATGGTTTTGCTGAAGAGACCATGGAGCCTCAGAGAGAGGCTTGGGTTTCGGATGCATGTGTTCCTGCAGCAGTTTTGTCGAAATATGTGCGACAAGTAGGCCAAGAAAAGCTCAAGCCTCGCAAGCGGTCACATGAGGATCAGTCGCAAAGCCTTGGCGAAGCATCTTCTCCATTGCCATCAGCTTCTCGGCCTGCGGGGACAAACAGTCCTGCAGACCTGCAGCAGCTCTCAGACTCCACAGATCTCATGTCGGTCACCTGTTCTACGCACAAAGAAAGCACAGCTGCCCAAAAGCAGCTTAAAAAGTCTGCCGGAATGCTGTGCGCGTGTTTGTCGGACGGTGTAATCTTGCACATGCAAGAGATCGATCTATGGCTGCGAATCTCTAAGCCAGCGATACATCTGCGTTGCCACCGTCAAGGCATTGATGCCGTCCCCCTGTGTAGTCGTGCATGATGACGCTTGTCACTTGCACAAATATGCGGCCCGCAGGGCAAAGGACAGAAGGGTTGCATGTCTGTTGCTGCGGGATATATATATATATATTTGTAACTATTGGACCTGGGCAATCAATAGTATGCTCTGGAAGCAAACCTTGAAACCAAACCTTCAGCCCGAACCAGATATGTGTCGGAGTTAAATGAACTAGATTGGCCCTGCAGGATTCAGCAGCTGCCGCTGGCATAGCCCCGCCAAAGCTGACCTACGTATGTGATAAGTTTCACATGGCCGGACACACAGACGCCTGGTGCAGGAAGACTTGTGATCCGGACCTGCCGGAACATGCTTCTGTTCTGAAAGGGATTATATAGAACATCAGTGTGCGAGTTTACCTTCACTTGGCTCAGCAAGTATAAGCACCAAACAAAGCACATGAATGAATATGGCTTCAAATTCTTCCTCTTGGACATGGCGTGGAGCCACAACGAAATCATTTTGCAAGGAGGTTATCGGCCAGAGGAAGTGGCAGGATCACTTAGTGCTAAACGCGCTAGAAAAAACATTGTGGTCTGATCTTGCAAGTACCGGGCTGCATGCTGTTAAGTCTGCATCCCAGTCGTTCGATCATGTCCCTGCGCATGTGCAAATGTGCTTGTCCATCCTACTTGCTAAAAATGCTGCAGTGTTTTTCGCTCATCACGGGTGCAGAATCTTGTAGTGGTAAGTTCCACCGCCATGTCTGGAACCCATGAAGATAGACAGAACATACCGGCCATGAAGCTCATGTGGGATGAAGTAGACGCACGCTTTGATCCAAAGTATGTGCTTGGGGAAGCTGGCCATCGCTTCTGCCAAACATATTCCGTGAGAGCTGCCCATCCAGAATTTCCTTACGCCCTGCATTGTTTGTCAATGATGTGTGCTCTGGTCAATGGGGCTCGTGTTGCTGTCTTTCCCACATCCCAATCGCCTCTGACTCTTGTGGCCATCAATGTGAACTATGCCCAAACGAGAAAATCGTCCATGACAGGCCACGCAGAAACCTTGGGGCAAGCGTTGGATGCTGTCATCCTGAAGCAGTGGAATCAAGATTGGAAGAGAGCTTGCCAGAGCCGGCAGTGCAAGATGGATTGCCAGGTGGGCCTTCCGGAGGGCTTCGAAGGCCGGGCTTATATATACATTTTTCGTCGATGAGATGTTTGACCCTTGTAATGCTTTAACTTTGTGTAAAGGCACGACAAATTTAATGACAGTTTGCATGACAACTTTTTTGTGTCCTTGCCCACTTTCAGCGCAGGTATTTGCGGCCAAAAATACTATCAGCTACAGTGGCAGCTCCACGCCAGAAGAATGGTTTCATCGTTGCTCCGGAGACTGGGACCAAGTCCGGAACGCGGACAAGTTGCCAGGTGACTTCTCGGGCCGGTGTTGGTACGGCTTACTCGGCAACTTTGATGAAGCCTACGACTTCTTGCTCAGTCTTGTGCTTTTGTCAGATCCCAGCACATCTTCCAAGGACAAAGCAAAATCGAAGGTGAACCCGTACCAGAGCGCTTTCAACAAGCTGCTGCAATTCGGCTCCAGCGTCAGAGCCACGAAAACAGCAGGCAGCTAGGGTGAAAGGCCTGACCGGACAATAAGCATGGGAATCACCTGCAACATGCACCCGGCGCAGTACATTCCAATGGAAAGGGGCGAAAAAGGTTCCTCGTTGCAGTTCAATTCTGCCACACGTCTCATCAAAAGTCTTGCATTTTCTTGCTTTTCTGGCACGTCTATCGCTCCGTTGACTGCGCAGGAGCTTCGCGGCACCACTGGGTCCCCCTCACTCCTGACATTGCTGAGTTTATCGGCGTTGCCAAAGAAGCGGCATCTCCGCTCAGGAATGGCGCGAGGCCGGCTTCGCAGATGCAGGCGTCGTGCAGCTCACGCAGAATGCTGCCCGGGAGTACGTGCCATCAGAAGAGGGATACCCAGTTAGGCTTTTGGATGGCAAGCTCAGCCGGCTCCGTTTCAAGCGTGACCAATCCGCTCCAAACGGCTTTGAGCAGCCAACCGCAACTTTGCCATTCCTGAGGAATGTTCCATTCACAGCAGTGGCCCGACTGACGGCATACTTCTCAGGGCCGCACCAAGTCATCACTCTCACTGCGGAAGCAGAGTCGTGGCACTTGTCCTACCAGGGCGCCATGAATGTTCAGAGCCATGTCGTTCGTGAGCCTGGGGACGTGCAAGCTGGTGCTCGTTTTGGTGCAGCTCCTTGGCAAGTAGGCGTCCTGGCAGCCTTGCTCTTGGTATTCGAGATCTTTGTTGGGGCCCATTCCGTTGAAGCTCTTCAAGCAAAAGCTTTGCAGGTCACTTCTCAGCATTTGCAACGTGCCTACGCTGTTCTCCATCTCGTCCTCTAGCGGATTCAAACAATTTTTCCTGTTCATGCGGATATGTTTGCTGCTCTAATAATGCTTGCCAGCTTTGGACTTTGGCGTTGAAATTGCAGAACATGACTTTGCCACTCTTGCCTGTAAGGTTCAGAGGTTGAAGCAGATTGCACTCGGGGATGCTGCCACAAGCCCAGACAATGCCCCGCCGCTGGAACAAGAGGCTTCCTTTGATGTGGGCTCTCTACGTGTTCCATATGATGAACATGCTTTTGCACCTGCAACGCAGCCGCGGAGACCAGTCGATGAGAGTGAGGATGAGGATGATGAAGGGGACGCGGGAGAAGTTGACATGGAGCCACCCCAAGAGCCTGCTGAACACTTGGCCCAGCCGCCCCAGCCACCCCATGGATACGGAACCCGCAGCTTTAACTCTGCGAGATGTTCGTGCCAGTGATTATGGTTTTGTTGACTATGGACTTTCTGTGCAGCCGGATGGCCTCCACAGCCGCCACTTGACCGACAGGGCAATTTTGAAGCAAACGCTTCTGACAGGGAAGCCCAAGGTCACGTGCAAGGAGGCTTGTGACAAGATGCGCAGCTTCCGACACGCAGGTCGCAAGGCTTTACCCAAGGAAAAGTGGACTGCTGTGATGGCAGCTGCCGCGGGGCAACATCCAAACCTATTGCGCCTGGAAGGTGAGACATTGTGCTTGCATGCGCAGGTCATACCTGACACTTCCGATGGCAAGGTGCGGTACCACAACGATCTCATGAAAGCCTGCGGCCTCACCTTGCGGGAGCTGATCGCAGCCATGAACAAGACAACTGAGGCATCTGAGAAGTCCGAGCAAGACCGCCGTGCAAAACGTACCAGGAATGAGTGACATAGGGCAGCCGTTCCGGCAGCGCGGCATGAAGATTATAAAGGGCGAAAATGGAATTGGCGCCAAGAACACAAATGAAGCAATGTAATTTGAATTTCACTCTTCATGTCCAAAAACCCCCTGGCAAGAACGGAATTGTCCTGACCTGGCCAGGACAAAGCTCTGGAAGAGTCGGCTGCGCGCTGCTTTGACATGATCATGGCCTATAGCTAGGACTGCGCTCGTGGCCATGATGGCTTTGTGACAGCAAGTACTAGGCGCAGTGGGGCTCGCATGGCTCCCTGCGTGCCAAATCACATATCACGGTCTTTGGCCGCACAAAAGCTTCTATATAGTCTCTTACTAATAACTGATCAACAGAGCGGGCCAGCGGATCAGCGGATCAGCGGATCAGCGGACCAGCGGATCAGCGGATCAGCGGACCAGCGGATCAGCGGATCAGCGGACCCAGCGGATCAGCGGATCAGCGGATTAGCGGACCAGCGGACCAGCGGATCAGCGGATCAGCGGATCAGCGGATCAGCGGACCAGCGGACCAGCGGATCAGCGGACCAGCGGATCAGCGGATCAGCGGATCAGCGGATCAGCGGATCAGCGGACCAGCGGATCAGCGGATCAGCGGATCAGCGGACCAGCGGATCAGCGGATCAGCGATCAGCGGATCAGCGGATCAGCGGACCAGCGGACCAGCGGATCAGACAACCCCACGATCATAAGTCACTGCTCTCCACCCTTGGCAACCAACAGAGCTGTTTTGTCAATGACACCACGGTGAGATTCAGAAGGAATAACCAAATTCGACGACGACGATGCAGATGGAGATTCCTCAACTTCAGGCTCCCTTCTCTCAACTGGAGGCTTTTTCGCCGCTGTCTTCTTTGCAGTCACAGCAGGAGATCTGCTATGCTCCCCCTCTCAGGCACTGATGGAGCACTGCTTTGAACCTCTCTCTCAGGCACAGAGCTTTCTTCTTTGGTGGCCTCTTAGGTTCGGGTACACCAGAAGATTCAGAAGCAGCACCCGAAGAGGCCTTAGGCACAACCTACACCAGCAGCCGGAGAAGCTCTAGGCACCGCTGCAGCGCGAGCCCTCTTAGGCTCAGGTACACCAGTGTAGTACACCAGACGATTCAGTAGCAGCAACTGGAGAGGCCTTAGGTACAACTGGAGTACGGGATCTCTTAGGTTCAGGTACACCAGAAGATTCAGAAGCAGCAGCCGAAGTCTTGGGCACCGCTGGAACACCAGCCTTCTCCCTGGGAGCTGACTTGCTTCTTCTAGGCACCGGAACAGTTCTCCTTGGCACAGTAGCAACCGATGTAGTCACCACGAGATGCAATAGACTCAGAACCTGCTACACTTTCGCGCTCCGCGCGATACGAAGGTTGATCTCTGTCTCGAACGTCTGGTCGATCAGGGACCCAAACCCAACGCCAAGAACCAGGCTCAGATGTTCCAGGAGGTGGTCCTTCAGGAGCTTCAGGAGGCGGTCCTTCTGGGGGAATAGGACGGCGAGCAGAATCGGGTGGAGGTTCTCTCGCAAGCTGCTCCCTATAGTAGCGCAGGTAATCGCACTGGCTTCTCCACGATCAAACCTGGCCACTTGAGAAGCACGCCACGGATTGCCACCACGCGCCCCACGAAGCCGCTTTTTCTCACTCATGCAGTCGCCCAAGTAAGAGCCACCAAGCAATCGCGCAAGCGCGAACGAAAGATTGCAAGAACCCTAGATGTAGTGCACAATGCAGTGTAGTCTAGGAAGTTTCGATGATATTATAGTTGATTGATTAGAGCCGGGTTACGGCTGATAACCAGAAAAATCAGTCACAACCAGTAAATTCGCGAAGTTGATGACAAATAAAGATGTAGATTCAAAACACCAATGCAAAAATGCAAATCAAGTAGATCCGCGAAGAATGGCACTCTTTTATGCGGGCATCTTGAGTCAAACGTCGCTGGCCAAGTCTTGAGTTTTCATCCCGGATTTCAGGATAAAAGAACATGTTATCATTGAAAGATAACCTATTGATTCGTCTATTCCTTGTTGACCTCAAATGACATCATGTACACTTTACAGTCATTGAGTACAACATCATAGATACTCATGCACAAGGCGAGGAGTTGATGGAGTATTTTCATCCATTTGTCAGTAGATTTACTTTCAATTTTGGCGCTAGCATTTTTCCTTTTAAAAGTCCTTTTAAGAAGTGCTTCAAAATCGCGATTTTTTTTGATTTGGCGCCGAGATCCGGCTTTGGAGCTGCAATTCCTGTTGTGATTATGTACAAACTTCTCTGTGTGAAAACTTTTTTCTGTAAATCTGTGAAAGCTTGCAGTGTGTAGAAGCTTGCTGTGTGTAAAAGCTTCTCTATGTGTAAAAGCTTCTCTGTGAAAAAAGTTTCTCTGTGTGTAAACGCTTGCCATGTGTAAAAGCACTGTGTGTAAGTGTTCTGTGTGTAAGCGCTTGCTGTGTGTGAAAGCGTGCTGTGTGTAAAAGCTTCTGTGTGTAAAAGCTTGTTGTGTGTAAAAGCTTCTGTGTGTAAAAGCTTCTCTGTTTAAAAAGCTTGCTGTGTGTAAAAGCTTTTCTGCGAAAGAACTTGCTGTGTGTAAAAGCTTTCTTTGTGAAAGCTTTGTATCACAAAGTAGTACTGGGACATACTTTGTGCAAGGTTTGTAGTACAAAGTAGTACTGGGAAGTGCTTTCGCAAACTTCGTAGTACAAAGTAGTACTGGGAAGTACTTTTTGCAAGCTTTGTAGTACAAAGTAGTACTGGGGGCAAGCTTTGTGTAGTACAAAGTAGTGCGGGGAAATGGTTTGTGCAAGCTTTGTAGTGCAAAGTAGTACTGGGAAGTAGTTTGTGCAAGCTTTGTAGTACAAAGTAGTACTGGGAAGTGCTTTGTGCAAGCTTTGCAGTACAAAGTAGTCATGGAACGTGCTTTGTGCAAGCTTTGTAGTACAAAGTAGTACAAAGTGTGAAGTGTGGAGTGTAAAGAAAGCAGTGAGATGTGAGAAGTGTGAAGTGTGGACTGTGAAGTGTGAAATGTGAAGTGTGAAGTGTGAAGTGTGAAGTGTGGAGTGTGGAGAGTGCAGTGAGAAGTGTGAAGTGCGAAGTGGAGCTTCAAATGCGACTTGTGAAACAGGACACCACTTTCGCAGAATGCACGCACGCACGGGCTTGGCTGGCGCACGGCGCATGCAAGTTCTATAGATGAGAAAGGTCTTATATTAACTTATATATTTATATATATAAATATGTATGTATGTATGTATGTACTATACCCCTAAGGCAACTTCCGCCCCGCCTCGTGAGGGTACTACTGGTAACCCGTATTTAAGAATTGATGTTTTGAACCATTTTTGCACCCACAAAGGGGGGACCCCTTGAAGTCCACCGATGTAGCCAGTTTTGCATGGTTTGCGGGTCTCTGAGCTTGCTCCGTGGTTTGGTTCTCCGGGGTAAATACCTGGGCCCACAAGTTCATACATGTTTTAGTGATTTTAGTGAAAACATCATAATCGTTCATCCCATCTGGAAAAACAGTCACCATCAGACACCAGGTGTGTCTGACAGTACTGTGACTGTGTTTGATCATGACTTTCCCGTTACAGAAACATGCGCGTGTATATTATTTATTTAAATATATGAAAATATAAATATATCATATACATATGCGAGCACATATTTAATATGCAACATCCACAATGGTCATATGCAGTCATCTTTTTCTTAACCGTTGTTCAAGGACAGGGGCTAAAAACCTATGATGTAACATTCCCAGTGTTTTTCAAGTTTGTTTTGTCACAGGGCTGAAAAGCTGGTGGCCCAACATCTTCAAAGATTTCTCTGTTCACAAGGTCCAGTGTCTGAAAACCTAGAGCCCTTGATTTCGACATCAAACCAGACTACCATCATTGCAAACGATGAGTTGCTGAATCTAAGGTTTTGCCAATATGTTTCAGCAACCACTCCGTGGCTAAAAAGGGTGGCACTAGCCTCAGGTTTTCAACCATCTTATATATAATTATATATTATATATATATATTATATATATATATATGTTGATTCACCGCCTCTCCATTCGCAGGGACTTTCATGCCCAGATGTGGAAAAGGTCCTCAGGGAAGGGACTTGGACGCTGCCAAAATTGGTAGCGGAGCTACCAACGCTCCTTGTAGCTCCGAGTAGCACGGAGGTCTTAGGAAAGGCCTGATCCGTGGATTCACCGCCATGGAATCTGGTACTTCGCTGAAGTACTTCTCAGGAGATGATGCCGACTACAAAGAGTACCGGCGCTGGAAGACTTGGGTTCAGAACAAAATGATGGTTATGGACAAACTTAGCAAGTCAGCTCGGGGAGCTTTTGTCTGGACATTGCTCCAGGGCCGGGCACTCGAAACAGTCGAGCACCTGAAGCCTGACGAGTACCAAGTTGAAGGAGGTGACACGGTGATTTTCACCTTGTTAGATCAGCGTTGGCCAGAAAAGGATCGAAATGATGAAATGGGCGAGATTATCGCCGAAGTGTTCAGCCTGAAGGGCAAAGATGGGGAGTCGCTTCGCCAATGGGCAGCTCGCTCCCGTGAAGTCTTTGACAGGTGTTCCAGAAAGGGTGGAGTCAAGTTTCCAGAAGAGGCTCGTGGATGGGTCCTTTTAAACTGCAGTGGGTTGACCGAGGGTGAGCGAGCAGTAGTGCTTGCGAGAGCGCAGGGCGACCTCAAGTTTGACAGCATAGCCCAGTCCATGAGAAGTTGTTACCCCGAGATGACAATCTCTCGGAAGCGCGCCTCTGGAGTTCATGTGGTAGAAGAAAGTGATCATGCCGAACAGCCTGAGAGCACTGCAACTGTTTCTGCCGGTTTTGAAGACGTCGAACTGTTTTTAGCAGAACATGGGTTAGCCGAGGATGGAGAAAATGTACAACATGATGAAGCATGGGATGAACGTGAAGCTGCCGAGGTTCTAGCAGCCTCATGGAAAGATCGTCGGCGTGAACTCAATAATTACGTTGCAGAAAAATCGGAAGTTCACCCAGGCAAATGACTTACGTCGAGCCTTTAGGGTTGAGGTGGAGGAAGTGAAACGGAGGTCAAAATGTTTCAAGTGTGGCAAGATGGGGCACTTTGCCCGAGACTGCCGCCAGCGTGGAACTGCCTCAGGGTCTTCATCATCAACCGCTGCCACCAACAAAGAACACGGCGCCAGTATGGTGCAACATGTGCCTCAATTGGATGAGCATTTTGTGTGTTCAGCCAGTGTTCAATCTGTTGACGTCACCACTGGACATCTAGTATGCCTTGTGAGCTCACCGGGTTTCGCAGTTTTGGATAGTGGATGCGGCAAAACAATCATTGGAGCCAATACATTGCAAGATTTCCTTGGAATCTTTGAAAGTTGTGGTATCCAAATTCCTTCAGAACGACAGGAAACCAACATTTTCAAATTTGGAAATGGTGAGCGAGAGATATCCAACAGGATGATTGACATGCCCGTGCAGATTGCTGGGAAGCGCGGTATTGTCCGCGCCGCTGTTGTCAAAGGCGACGCTCCACTGCTGCTGTCAAGGTCGGCTCTCAAAACACTGAAGGCCAACATGGACTTTGACAAAGATGAGCTGCAGCTGTTTGGCACTGATAGTGTTCCTATGCTGGTCAATGAGGCTGGTCAATACACCATCAATGTTTCAAACTTTCCAGGAGTGAGCCCATGTGAACATCCGCCGTCAGCGTCCGTTGAACTGCCAGCTTCAACCGAGCCAGCATTGCCTGATGGCCAGTCAGCCGACTTGGCCGAATCAAGTGCCTCGGTTAAGTTTAATTTTCACCGGGATAAGCCTAAAGACTATTGGGAAATAAGGCCTAAGGAAAGGGTTGTAATCCGACACCACCGTAAGCCTAGACATGCTAGGTTCACACCATGTCACACCCAGTGTCCTGTTGACCCACGTGATCTGCATCCAATCCGATGTACATTCATCAGTGACCCTAGCCAAGAACATGATGTGCAGGTATGTGATGAGTGGCGAGTGGACGGATCCCAGTGTTGCACACGTTGTCCAAGGGAAGCATGCATGGAAGGGCCGTACAGTATTCTCTATCCAGTCCCATGTTGATCTGTCAAGTTTTGCCGACCAGGATTGCGAAGTTCAGCTGATGCAGTGGTCTCCCAAGCAGCACCGACAGCTGATGCACCAAGTCCAGCAAGGTACCATGCCGAAGGGTCCAGGTAAGATCAATGTGATAGAGGTATTTTCCCCTCCACGTTTTGCCTTGGAATGTGAAAAGATGGGTTGGTCTTGTTTGTCTGCAGATCTGTGTACAGGCTGGGATTTCCGTAAAAGTAGTGACCGTCAAGCCATGAGGGAAACAGTGAAGAATCGTAAGCCAGACCTCCTTGTCCTTTGTCCTCCATGCACTTGGGCTGGGGGTTGGTTCCACCTAAATAAGAAGCACATGTCAGATGAAGAACTTCGTGAAAAGAAGATCCTCACACAACTGTTCATCAATTTCTGCAAAGAGTTGATCAAGATTCAGTTGAGCAACGGGGGTAGAGTCATGTTTGAACATCCAAGAGATTCCGTTGCTTGGGAATTGCTAGAGGAATTGTCATCACAATTGCATACGGTGGATTTGCACATGTGTCGTTTCGGTCTCAGAGTGCCCCAAGGCCCACTGATCCGCAAAGCCACCAGACTGATGGTTTCACATGCCAACATGCGAGAGCTTGGACGCCTGTGCCCAGGCAGTAAGCATCCGGACCATGTAGACCACCTGCCCATTGCAGGGTCCCATCCGAGCATTGGGTCAATCAGTAAGCATGCAGGTAAGTACACCAGTGCTTTTGTCAAAGCTGTGTTGAAGACGGTCCATGAACTGCCTGCCACAGACGTGTTGGTGTTACATCAGGATAACCCTGCCGAATGTCTCGTTGCCGCTCATGAGGAAGAGCTTGAAGGTGATGATGAACAGAAAATCAAAGCTAGCCTGAAGAAGCTTCATCAGAATCTAGGTCACCCCCCAAATGAGCACCTAGCTCGGATCCTCAAGCATGGTGGCGCATCCACCAAAGCTTTGCAGCTGGCTAGAGACTTTGCATGTGAACAGTGCATCGCACAGGCACGACCACGGTTGGCTCTTCCAGCTCAGACCAACCGAGTGACAGAGTTCAATGCATTGGTAGGTCTTGATGTCAAGTATTTGGATGGTTGGGGAATGAACCAAAAGATTCCTGCCCTCAATATCCTGGATTATGGTAGTAGCATGCAAATGATGGTACCCCTGTTCAAGCGTGAAACATCCGAAAGCATTCGTCATGCCTTCATGGAAAGATGGGTGTCATGGGCCGGTATGCCAACTGAAGTCATCCTAGATCCTGCCAAGCCAAACGTTGCAGATGCCTTGACACAACCGCTCGAAGAGCGTGGGGTGGCTATCCGTGTCACGGCGGCTGATGCCCATCACCAGCTTGGGAAGGTAGAAGTCCATGGGGGTTGGTTTAACCGTGTTCTCCGAAAAGTCATAGAGGAACAACAGCCGAGCAATCAGAGTGAATGGTTGGATTGCGTTCATGCCTCCCACTGTAAGAATCAGCTGATCCAGGTGTATGGCATGACTCCCTCACAACATGTCTTTGGTGTTAACCCCAGGATACCAGAAAACATTCTTGATGAGCCGTTGGAGATAGTTCCAGCCACAGCATCGCTGTATCAAGCTGCAATTGCAAAGCAGGTAGCTACCAGGCAATCCGCCCGAAGGGCAGTGCTGGAATTGCAGGATGCGAAGGCGCTGCGCCTTGCTTTGGCTGCTAGACCAAGAGTCACTCCAAGTGTGTCTCCAGGACAATATGTGGCTTATTGGCGAACCCAAAAGTGGATTCAAGGGAGTCTTGAACAGCATGGTAGGTGGCATGGGCCCGCAATTGTTCTTGGTCATGTTGGTAGAAATGTTGTGGTTATCCATAAACGACAGGTTTTCAGGTGTGCCCCAGAACAAATCAGACCATCAACTGAGTCCGAGAAACAACTTGCCCAGACACCAGAGTTGGAATTGGCTGGTATCAAACACTTGATTGATCAGGGAGCTATCCAGAGTAAGCAATACGTTGACCTGGTTCCCCAAGGGTATCCAAGTGAAGCCCCTGATCAGCAGCCGTCTCCCGACAATGCAGAACAGAATGCCGCTGTTCCCCAATCCGTTCAAGACCGAATGCAGTCAGCTGTTGAAGAGACTCCAGCGCCAAATGCTGCCAGTCCTGCCGGTGAGCCTGAAATGCCCTCTGTTCCTGCAGTGAATCCAAAGTCACTGCCAGCCTCGAGCCCAGGGAATGCCCAAGAGAATGAAGGGTATGGCCCTATCCGTAGGAAGGTGTTGGGGAAACAAGGTCCGATGTCGCTGTATCGTCCTGGTTCCATGGCACAAGACGATTTCGCAGAGCTGATGCAAGAGGTGGTTCCCCAGTTGTTAGAACAGGTTCTCAACCAAGAAGATCAAGCCATGCCAGGTGCCGAGTCAGCCTCGTCTGCCGACCGTTCTGCCGGAGTGAAGCGAGATGCATCCCCAGCTGCTCCTCCATTGGAGCCTTCTGCCAAGAGCCAGCGAACTGTCTCTCCTGACCGTAGCGATGTCCTTCCGGCCGATGTAGTGGGCAGAGAAGAAGGTCATACCTTCTCCCAAGATGAAGTGACAATTCTGTCTGTAGAGCATGTTCCAAACATTCCTACTGAACAACTCACCAGTGAAGAGCGACAGGAACTTCATGACATGTTGAATCAACAGGTTCCAGTCGAAGTCATGGTAGCCAACTATTTGCAAAAGAAGGCATCAAAAGAAATTCAAGGTACTGGCAATCCACCTGAATTGCAGAACAAAATTGATGAGGCAAAGTTGTTAGAATGGAACACGATCCTCGCCAAGAATGCTGCACGAGTTGTGTTGGGTCCCGAAGCTGATCAAGTGCGATCCAAGTTTTCTCACCGTATCATGGGTAGCAGGTATGTCATGACCATCAAACAGGAGGATGACGCTCCTGCCAGAGTCAAAGCACGCTGGTGCCTGCAGGGCCATTTAGACCCTGACCTTCGTGAGAAAGCCACTGCTGGAGATCTCCAATCTCCTACCCTGTCTCAAGTTGCCAGAAACATGGTGTTTCAGTTGATTTCTTCATTTAAATGGAGACTCAAGCTTGGTGACATTCGAGGTGCGTTTCTCTCGGCAGGGAATTTGCCCATGCGATACCGGCCGTTGTATGCCCGTCTGCCCCAGGGAGGAATCCCGGGAATTCCTGAGGGATCTCTCATCGAGGTGTTAGGCCATGTGTATGGCCTCAATGATTCACCATCAGCATGGTACCGTCGTTTATCGACAGTGTTGCTGCAGGCTGGATTCGAGAGATCCCGTTTTGACAGTTGCCTATTTTACATGCGAGAGAATGGTGAGCTGACCGGCATATATGGTATCCATGTAGATGACTGTGCGACTGCTGGTGTAGGTCAAAAGTATGAAATGGCTCTCAAAACACTTCAGACCAGTTTTGAATTCCGAAAGTGGCGCGACGGGTTCGAGGGTGGTGATTTTTGTGGGGCGACTTACAAACAGTGTCCAACAACGTTTGAGGTAAAGATGTCCCAAGAAAAATTCATCGATAAGCTCAGACCCATGCATTTTTCCAAAGGACGTATCAAAGAACGAGATTCCCCCTTGACAGAAAAAGAAATTAGCTGTCTCCGAGCTATCAATGGAGGGCTGAACTGGCTGGCCACTCAGTCACGACCTGACCTGTCAACTCAGGTATCGTTCTCTCAGCAGTCTTTTCCAGTGCCCACAGTGGCTGATGCATTGGCAGCAAATAATGCGATTCGCCGTGCAAAGCAGCATAGAGATCAGGAAATCCGTTTCTGTAGCATAGCTCTGGAAAAGTTGTCCGTGATGTGCCACAGTGATGCTGCTTTTGGCAATGCAAAAGCTAATGCAACACAGGCTGGATTCTTGGTTGCTTTCACTAGTAAAGAAATCAATGAAGGAGAAATGTGTGATTGGTCCCCAGTGTTTTGGAGAAGTGCACGGTTGCCTAGGGTAGTGAGTTCAACGCTGAGTGCAGAAGCTCAGAGCATGGCCGTGGCATCGAGCATGTGCGAGTGGATCACGCTTCTATTGTCTGAAGCACTCGAAGGTCCAAGGTTTTCCCATTCATGTTGGAATAGAACTCAGGACCGTTTGGTGTTGTTTGCTACAGACTGCAAGTCGCTGTATGATCATTTGTGTTCACAGTCATCCCCTACCTTAGAAGATCGTAGGACTGCCATAGATATCATCATCATTCGCGATTCCATCCACCGGTTGAATGCCTTCCTGAGATGGCTTCCCACAAATAGAATGCTTGCAGATGCCCTGACAAAGGAAAGTCCGGAAGCCTTTGACCTGCTGCGTGCTTGCCTGAGAACAGGCAGATATCAGATCAGCCCAGAAGAGAAGATTCTCGAGCTGCGTGCCGACGAACGCAACAGACGTCAGACCTTTGCGCAGAAAACAGCATGTTGTCCCAAGGGTAATGCCGAGGACCAACCTCGGCTGAAAAACCAAAAGTAAATGCCAAAAAGCAGTGGGGTATCATATCTAACCAGGGGTTAATAATAATAAAAGTAACTTCCATAAGCTATGGGCAAGGGGTCACTTAAGCCTGAGCAATGTCCAGGGTATAAGTAGGGAACCTTGTTAGTGAGATAATGCGGTAGACAACTTGTGGCTCGAATACATTCCGTGGTGCTCCCCCTTTTGATCTAATTCAATTGACTAAGATGTCAAACTCGAAGATGCCTCGAACGTCTGGTGACCACCGAGTTCCATGGTCTATCGATGACCATGACAGGTGTGTGGAGTTGGTGCTTCGTGCTCGCCAGCGTGGAGCATTTGACTTGGTGATGAACCGAGTGCGTCGAGTGGAGGAGGGTTTGCAGGCCGATTTGGCGGCAGTGGGTCTCACTGATGGCGATTACGCCAAATGTGATGAGATCTGTGCCAAAGGGATCTCTGGCCATGGGGCCATGACCGATGCTTCCAAACGATCCCATGCAGCCGAAGATCTGGATGAAAACGATGATGATGTGGAGACGCAGGGATATGTAATGCCTCAACCGTCCAGTCCTCCGATGTCCCATGACCAGTACGAGGTGCCAGTGAAGGTGACATTTCCTCCAGGAGTTCAGTCCTTGCAGGAGTGGGGTTCCTTCAAGGTGACATTCGGCAAGTTCAAAGGCAAGAAGTCTTACTACCAGGTTTATCTGGGGAGAACTCTGATGAGATGATTGAATATCGAAAGTATCTCCTCGCTCGTCGCGAGAGTGGCTCAGCCTTGTTGAAAGATCTGGCCAAGTATCTTCATGCTATGTCCGGAGCTTCGGACGATGGACAGCTGCCGATGATTCCAGGCACCAATGTGCAACGCGTCAAGTGGACGTGATTTCTTAGCAAGGACACCCGGAACCTTTTTGATTTGTTTAGATAGAGACCAGTGTTGATTCACCGCCTCTCCATTCGCAGGGACTTTCATGCCCAGATGTGGAAAAGGTCCTCAGGGAAGGGACTTGGACGCTGCCAAAATATATATGTGTGTGTGGGCTCCCGTGAAAATCCTTTACATCCCAGTAGGGCCCTATCGCTTTCCAGGGTCTTGTGGAAATCAGCATATTGGAGATCCAACATGAACCCAAAATCCATTCCTAAACAGGCTCGGAAATGGATCGAAGAGTTGTTTTGTCGGCTTCAGGTGCTTCGGCAACACTTCATGTTCCTTTCATGTTGCATTCATTTGAATGCATCTTCCTGCACTTTCCTTTCATTTGCATGCATCTCCCTTTCATGTTGCATTGATTTGCTTTCATTGTCCTTTCATGTTCCTTTCATTCGCATTCATGTCCCTTCATTTTCCTTTCATATTATATTCCTTTTATATTCCTTTCATGTTCATTCCAATGTGCATTCATGTCCTTTCATCTTCCTTTCATTTGCATGCATGTTCCTTTTATTCTGCATTCATGTCCTTTCATTTCCTTCGTAAAGTTATGGAAATGGCTCTAAGGCTTGGCCAGGGAACTGAGTGCAACAAATGGTTATCGCTAGGTTATCGCTAAATAACCCTTCCAACATATGACATTGTTCGAAGGAAATTTGCCACAAAAACGAGAGAGACAGAGAGAGCGAGCGAGCGAGTTGGATGCCAAATGATATGGTAACTGAAGGAAACAGGCCACCACAGGTTGAATTTATCTCATCGGTTTTGCCCGTTGGGTGAATGTGCACAGTATTTGCTTGGTTTACGCCAAGTTTACTGGACAGCCGTGTATGGTCCCAGGTTGTCGCTTTTGGGGGCTATCGCTTTACAGTGTTTCGTGCACATCGACAAAAAAACTCGTGCAATACTAAAGTGGTCTTCAACCATTTTGACCGTGACTCATATATAAATAGACGTAACATGATGTAACGATAGTGTCACATAGTGCCATCTCAACTTGCCATCTCAAATTGTCATGTCAGTCACTTTCAGCAAAGAAACTCTACAGTGACTGCTTGCGTGACGTAGCCTTCGAGCACGCACACCTTGAGGTGCGGACACACTATGTTAAAGCCATCACAGCGTTCAGTTCTGCAGATCGAGGTTCAGTTCTTGCTTTGCTATTCTCTAGCGTTGGAACGTTTCACTATCGGTTTCACCGTGGGTGCATCTGCATCCCAACCACAACACAGAGCGACAAGCAGACATTGTTAGCTTCAAGGATGCCATTCATTATGCCGAGGCACAGACGGCATGTTAGCATCTACAACACAAGCAGTGTGTCTTGCGATTGGATCCGTGACATAGGAGCCAATCCCATCAGGAATCTCTCCTGACCTTGGCCAATGGCTGCAAATGGGATTGAAATGCAAGTGGGATCTTCATTGATCTTCATTGATCTTCTTGCTTGTCTAGGCAATGTGGCAGCCCTTCTCCGGACTCAGGTCCAAGAACTGTGCAGCCAGTGGTGCCCAAAGTATTTGATGGAATTTGGCCGAGAGACTGGATTCCAGCACTGAGCCCCACCAGAAGCAAAAGCCCAGCTAATTTCATGGTATTTGCACCATCTACGAAAAAGTCGGGAGTTGGTCAGAACTTGAGTCTGTGTTTTTTGGAAAAGGGCTATCGGTAGCAAGGTAGAATCAATATGTTTTTGATATTTTTTTGCAATGGTTTGTCATGGTGCTTTTATGTTTTCCCTTTTGAAACGATGGACATGTCATGTCATGTTATTTCACTGCCAAACTGATCTGTGTTCGTATGCTTCGCTTTGCGGCACGGGCAGTCTCGTGAATGGAACTTGGGTTGCGACCACAAGCTTACAAAGGATTACTGCCAGGGAGGTCTTTGCACAGGCATGCGCTTGCAAAAAAGAGAGCTTGCTAGTTGCTAGTGAAACTGAGAACTGACAGAATGGTGAAAACTCAAAGTCGCCATTAAGGCCGCCTCGGTTCATATTGCCTTGCCAATACCATAGTAGGAAAAGGAACTCGCACTGGGGCCACACTGCCACACCCTTGAAAACCGTCCCAGCCACACCAGATGATTCTAAATTCTAAATGAGCATTGAGCATCTCACGAGGCCATTGGTACATACCTCATGTTGATTCATTGTGTCTTGGGTTTGCACGGTTCGTCAATGAGTTCAACCAGCGCACAGGAGATGTCTCGCAATGTGGGGGGACGGGGGACGCATCAAGCTACCAAAGAAAGTTGTGCTTGAGTATGCTTGAGTCACTGAGTGACGAAACGCCATGAACAAAACCTTCATTTAGAGAAGCATGAAGAAACATTCTAAAAGCTGAATATAGCTGAATACAGGGAAGCAATGCACCGTCAGAATCATTTTAAATTCGAGATCAATTCTCATGATCTCTATTGAGCCAACTGAGCCACGTGCCCCACAAATAAAGACGTACGACAAATCCTCCGCCAAACCTGTCTGTTCAGCAAGAGCCTGGGGACAATCGGAGCACGCAGCAAGACTTCCATGCAGCACGCACATTGGCCTGGAAATCCAGTGTATGCGGACTCAGTCAAAGAAGCACGCAATGAATGTTCAAGCCGTGCAAGCCAATTTTGGACTGTTTGCCAGACCTTCTGCGCTTGACAGAAGACCTGTTTGTTTGAAAACCTGTTTTTGAGGTCACAGCATCACGTAACTCAGTGATGTCCTGGCCCACGCAGAAAACACCGACGACCTGCAGGCTGTCGTAATGTAATCGCACCAACGCTAAAGATTGTCTTGCTCAAGTCAAATAGATTTCTGCAAACCAAGCTTTCCTCGTAAGTCGCCCTCTGAAAGCGTTTGTCTACATGTCTCTTTGGTTCCTTTCGGCTCCGTAAATGCCGCCTGTATCCCTCTGCCGAATCACAATTCAAGTGACAAGTTGCGACAAATCGTGAAACGTTGAACAAGATGTGACAAGTAGATTTCAAGATATTTCAAGTGCAAGATTCGGTAAGTGGTGCCGGCCTCCCCACGGTGGTCCCGTCGAGGTGTTGCAGTGGCCAGGATTCGTCGTTCGCGCTGCCAGGAGATTCGACTGTGTACTGTATACAACGAAAATCAACAAGGCGTGGTGCTCCGTTTCCTGCCACAAACCAACCTAACAACAATGTTCAAGAAGTAAAGGACTCATGACTCATGAAAAAAATGAAAACGCGACTCCGACATTCTTGCAAGACTAGCTAGCCTGCTTGCTGAGGCTGTGAGTGTTTTCTTCTTGCTATCTTCGGACCCATTAACCATGCCATATCATGTCATGCAATACAGAAAAAAATCGAACGGAAAACAACCCGTCGATACGACTGATACCTTGCCACGTGGGTCAGAAAGTGCTACATGTGGACATGCATGACCTGCATGAGGTATACAATGAACTGTAGTATCGCACCTGTTCAGCACCATTTTTGGCAAGTTCAAACTCGAAGTTGGTGACCTGCAGAGAGTGCAAGCAGAGGTACTATCCAGTCCGACACGTCAGAAACTGTATGTCAACATTATAACAACATTGTCCAAAATTATGGGGTGTCCTCTCTGTCTATTTATCTATCACGAGGGCTAGGGGCGTGCGCCATGCGTTTCTAAATAACTATACATAATAAATATATTAAATAAATAATATAAGGTCAAATAAAAGGTCACATATAAGGTCCACGTGCATCTACGCAAAAGGGCGTTTCCTGCACCTTCTTCCCCCTGGGGGAAGCAATGGTTCCTCCCCCTCAACTCAAGGACCACGACATAAATATCATATACGTAATTCCCTTGGGGGAGTAGCAACCCTGGATGTCTGAAGCTCCTAAACTAGAACGTTTCAACAAAAAAAACAGATCCCCCGAAATGATCAATTTCTTTTTATATTGCATTATAAAAATGAATTTTTCAGGCTCACCGAAGGGTACCCCCACGACCGGTGTCGTAGAACTATGGAAAAAAATGCAATGAACACCAATGGAATTGGGTGGTGTTCCTCAAAAGCTGATGAGTATTTTCACTGGGGACCTATATTCTATGCATGTAGTTCTGCAAGGAATTGGGTCTCTTCCATTTCAGGGTATATATCATATACGTAATTCCCTTTGGGGAGTAGCAAACCTGGATGTCTGAAGTTCCTAAACTACACTGACCCAAAAGTAGACGGCTCAACTCAAAAACCAAAATGCCCACAAGATGGCACCGCGCGGTGAGAAAGAAAACGGCGCTATTTCAGCTGGAATAAAACGAGTTCCGCCAATTCCCAAGACAGGAGGCAAAACCACCAGGAAAGACATCAGAGTTATCCCAAGACAGGAGGCAAAACCACCAGGAAAGACATCAGAGTTATCCCGAACAGGAGGCAAAACCACCAGGAAAGACAGCAGAGTTATCCTAAGGCAGGAGGCAAAAACCACCAGGAAAGACATCAGAGTTATCCCAAGACAGGAGGCAAAACCACCAGGAAAGACATCAGAGTTATCCCAAGACAGGAGGCAAAACCACCAGGACTCAGGCGAGAGGTCCCCACAAAGAGCGTTTGAGGACCTATCGTTGTAGTACCCCGGATATTTTTCGATATTTTTTTGTCAAAATATGTTGAAAAATAACATGTTTATCAAAATATATCGTGTCTAACCTAAACCCTACACCCGTTAGAAAAAAGATGAAAATAAGAAACATATCTGCCAACAACGGGGGGTTCATGGTATGTAAATATTATACATATAAAAAATAATCAGAATGCATATATTGAAATTGTAAAATTGCGCCATCTATGTGGAGATTCGCCATCTATGTGGCATATTTTGGTTAGGTTGGTTTATGGATGTCAGGATGTGAGGGAGTTGCGCCATCTATGTGGCAAATTTTGGCTATAGGTTGGTTTATGGATGTCGGGAGATGTGAGGGAGTTGCGCCATCTATGTGGCATATGTTGGTTAGGTTGGTTTATGGATGTCGGGAGATATGAGGGAGTTGCGCCATCTATGTGAGCATTCCCAGCCTGATTTTGGCGAATGGGTGGGAGTTGCGCCATCTATGTCCCAAAAAGGCAGCTTGATGTTGAGAAAAAAATATTGGGGGAAACCAGCGCAGAAGATTGCAAAAAATGAATCATTTTTAGGGACATACATGGCGCAACTGACCTGTTTTGAATGGCAGTTGAGCCATCTATCCCCCGCATTTTGCATCTGACATAGATGGCGCAACTCAAGATTCCGAGCGTCTACTTTGACATCAGAGTAGAACGTTTCAACAAAAAACAGGTCCCCCGAAATGATCAATGTCTTTTTATATTGCATTAAAAAATGAAGTTTTCAAGCTCACCGAAGGGAACCCCCCACGACCGGTGTCGTAGAACTATGAAAAAAAACTATTTGCAATGAAAACCAATGGAATTGGGTGGTGTTCCTCAAAAAAATGATGAATATTTTCACTGGTGACCAATATTCTATGTATGTAATTCTTCAAGGAATTGGATCTCTTCCAATGTATAAGGGTATATATCATATACATAATTCCCTTTGGGGAGTAGCAACCCTGGATGCCTGAAGTTAAAACTAGAACGGTTCAACAAAAAAACACGTCCCCCGAAATGATCCGTTTCTTTTTATATTGTAAAATGAGTTTTTCAGGCTCACCGAAGGGTACCCCCCACGACGGGTGTCGTAGAACTATGAAAAAAACTATTTTGCAGATAGAATGCCTCCCCGGAAACTACAGCAGATATAGATCAATGAAAAAGACATAGAAGAAAAGGAAGGGTAAGGAACAATATAGAAGAAAAGGAGGATAAAAGGGAAGAGGATAAGGTCGGAAAAGAGACAAGGGCACTCCAGGTTCCCTGCGGGTCAGAAACATACGGCTACAGTGGGGAAAACAGCAGATAGAATGCCTCCCCGGAAACTACAGCAGATATAGATCAATGAACTAGACGACGGTTGGCCCGAGAGCGAAAAATATGTTTTCAAGCAGCTCTGAGGATGGTAGTCGTAAAAGATAGTCGGTGAATAGTTGGTGAATTTTATATGAGCTAGGGAAGGATATGGTGTGAAAAAGTACGATTGATTAAGAAGAGGATACTTGGTAAAGGGCATCAGATGACACGTGTCTTGCAACCACAGAGAGAAAGAGGGAGGGGAGAGAGAGAGAAGGAAAGGGGGGTAGAAAGAAAACATGGAGAAATATAATGTGAGCAACAGAAATGCACAGGAGGCTCGGTACCATGATGCTGCGAACGACATGTGTTATCTCATTTTACTATGGCAATTCCTACACACATTGCCGAAAGAGCTCGGCACCATCATTCCGTGGATGTGAAGAAACGCGACTCTTTTATACAGAGACGCTTTTATACAGAGACGCTTTTACACACAGACGCTTTTACACACAGACACTTTTACACGCAGACGCTTTCACACACAGACCCTTTTACACAGACCCTTTTACACACAGACGCTTTTACACACAGAAGCTTTTACACACAGAAGCTTTTACACAGAGACCCTTTTACACACAGACGCTTTTACACACAGAAGCTTTTACACACAGACGCTTTTACGCACAGAAGCTTTTACACACAGAGGCTTTTACACGCAGACTCCTTTACACACAGACGCTTTTACACACAGACGCTTTTACATACAGACCCTTTTACACACAGACCCTTTTACACACAGAAGCCTTTACACACAGAAACTTTTACACACAGAAACTTTTACACACAGAAGCTTTTACACACAAACACTTTCACACACAGAAGCTTTTACACGCAAACACTTTCACATACAGAGACCGGACCCGTGAAATCGCAATTTTATCTCAGTTTTTGACGTCCAACGTTCATTTCGTGCGAAAGGGTTGCGATGGACCAAGTACTTGGTTGGCAGTTTGGACTTGTGGAAGTAATAAGTAGTTATTGTAGATATGGTAGTTATAACAAGATATAAGTAGAGTTAAAAAAGTTATTGAAGTTATTAAATGAAGGAAAAACTTGTAATTTTATAACTTCAATAAGTTGTTATAAGTAGATATAACTTTTATAAGTTCGTTTTAAGTTTTTCGATTTGACTTTTTTCGAAAACAAGGCGAAGCATCATTTTAACGTTTTTTTTTTTGAGAATTTTGTGTTTTGTTGGAAAAGTGTGTTCAATGTTCGATTTTGTTTGCAAATCATTTTTTACAAATGGAACTTTTTCCACCAAGATAAAAGACATGTACTTACATCTGAGATTGATTTTCGCGACATGTACTATATACGAGACCCTCCTCAATGTGAGTTTCGCTGTCGGTGGTGTGACGCCCAATGCACAAGACATAAGGTGGGCCATACTGGCCATTCATGTTACAGCCACAAAGATTTGAGGTGACTTGTTGAATCTCTGGGTGAAAATGCGTTGCAGAAAGAAGTTCTCTCTCAAGATGTCTTTGTTCAATTCGTATGTTTATGACCTTAATGAAATGAATGGTAACATATTCACAGAATCATGATTTTCAACCAAATATATGTTATCTAAACAATCTAAATAAAAATATCCAACGAAGCCAATCATGACAATATATCCACGCTGCAGATCCTTTTGTTGAAATGTCTCAGACTTGTTACCGAAAGGCTTGTTGTTTGAAAGATGATTCTCTGATAGTTGGATACTTTTCTGACTGTTCTTGCCATGTTTTGGATTCAATCGGTTTCACCCAACGATTTTATAACGGGTCATTGTTGGACACAACGTCGACTCAAGATTGGAACATCCAGAGCAATATGCACGCATGGATTTTCTGTTGAGCTGTATCTACATGTGTGTGCATGTATCTAAATATATCTAAATGTATCTACATGTATCTAAATGTATCTAAATATACCTAAACGTATCTACATGTATCTAAATGTATCTAAATGTATCTTTCAAAACCGGGGTGAAAGATACAAAAAGATACATTTAGATACATGTATCTTTTGGTATCTTTTTGTATCTTTTGAAAAAATCTGAAAGATACATGTATCTAAATGTATCTTTTTGTATCTTTCCACCCCGGTTTCGAAAGATACATTTAGATACATTTAGATACATTCAGATATATTGAGATACAATCAGATATCTTCATACTCTATGGACCAGTGGCTACAACGATAAGATGTCCGAAAAAAATCATCTGACCTTAACCATGGCGAACTATACCTGCATGTGAAGGTATGTTTGCGCCCCTTTAGCGGCTCAAAGAGCCGCCTTTAAATAGCGGTCCTAAATAACCGCCAACCGTAGATTCTCAGCGGCGCCGACGCCGCTACATACTAGGCGGTCCACAGGAACCGCCGTAATGTAAATTAGGCGACTCACAAGGGCCGCCATAAGGATAGATATATAGAAATATAAAAGGATTTTTTTGTACATACGTGCGGTCCCTCAGAACCGCACACCATCCATCCGGCGGATCCGAAGCCGCCAAATATTTGCGCTTCAT